GGTTGCTTTGACTTGAAAAATGTGTCGAAATTAAGAATTACAACACCTAATTCAACATCTTAGAATAGACACTCAAGTGGATACCTTATTCTACAATATATATTTGTGTGGAATAGTCCTAAAGCCACACATATTTATACGGTGAGTATAACATATTTTGTTTTAAAATTTTATGAGAGATTTTTTAAGACACGCATTATTATCCATGTAATAGGTACTAATATTTACATATATACTCGAACCTGTGTGTACAGAATTATATGGAGATGCAGTGGAACTTATTCATGGATTTATTGGCGCATGAAAGAAATGGATATCAGAGACAACTGGCTGCATTCGTACATATAATGTACGTCAGTTAAGGTTTTATTTTAATTAACTCAGTTCGCGAACTAATAGTAATAACTAAATGTGGCATATATCGAATTCTTTTAACAACTGCTTGTGTGTAGAAGCGAAAAACATCCCAACCGCGCTTGCCCTAATATGAGTATTTGAAGTAATAAACCTTTGAAGAACATCAACGTACCTCCCTTCCAGAGCAGCATGATTTCGATGCATGATTATTGTTTTCTTCCATGCATGTGGTCTCAGGTGATCGATTTGTTTCCTTCAAAGCAGGCGGGGATCCTTTGAAGAATATCAACGTACCTCCCTTCCAGGGCAGCATGATTTCGATGCATGATTATTGTTTTCTTTCATGCATGTGGCCTCAGGTGATCGATTTGTTTCCTTCAAAGCAGACGGGTATCGCAGGCGTGGGCAGACGGACGAACCAAAACAAATATCGCACAAAAAATATCCACGTTTTGTTCTTTTTAGTTGTAGGAGATATTGTCCTTTTGTTTTTACTGTAGCGTTAGCACGAGCATGCATGAAAAATGAAGATGTCTTTACACTGCAGAAATCTTTCAAGAAGATCATGCATAGATTATTCTTGTATTGAATATTATATATATACAATCACCTAAATATTATAATTAAACTACAAAATTTTGAATAAGGATACGAGGTAAGACATGCAAACAGATATTTCAAAACTACCTCCGTGGAGCTCCGTGGACTCCAACCCGACAGAACGCGACCTCCGTGGAGCACCCAAGCATGACCATAACCACGCACTTGCGGCCGGCGGCATCAGGCGGCGCCGAGAGCACGATCTCACGGAAGAACACGCCCCTCATGTCTTCTAGCTTGATGGCTCTGCCTGCGGCATCCGCGTCCCCGTAGCCGTTGGTGGGATGGAAGACCCACCGGCCGTAGACCCTAGACATGCGTTCCGTTGAGAACGCCGCCGCGACATGTTCGCCTGCTGGCGGGAGCTCAACGCGGGGGGCACGGGCACCGGCGAATGGATTCAGCAGCGTCACGGACGCCGCCTCATCCATGAGCGCCAGCCACCCACACGAGGAGCCGTCCGCCACCTTGCCGCGCACGTCGGGCAGCGTCTTGGACAAGACCTTCTTCTCCGGGACACAATAGAAGCCGACGCGGTCCGAGTCGGGGTCGAATGGGAGCAGCAGGAGCGGCCCGAAGGTCGCGAACGGGACGGCGGCGCGCCATGGGGAGCAAGCGGATCGGAAGGACGTCACGTCGTGGCCTGACGCGAGACGCTGCCCGATGGACTCGAGGAGATCCTCTGGCAGGCCGAATCTTCAGTCAGGAAGAGGTAGGGACCTTCTCTTAGGATTGGGAGGCTGAGCCATGGAAGACAGATGGCATCAACTATAGTTCACGCAAGAAATGGTGTCTGGTGTCTACTGTCACGATAGACCATGGATTGGGGAACGAGGATATGGAGAAAGGATTCAAAATGAACAGACCCAAGGGCAATTTCAGAAAGAAACAGCAAGCGAGGGCGATGGAACACGTGAGCGTGAAACCAAATCAAAGGAGGAAAAAGTTGTCCCTTTTTGCAAATGCAAAGAGAAAAAGTAATTAAGGCCCCGTTTGGCAGGGCTTCTCCAGCGGCTTCAGGAGCCGTTTGGAGCCGTTTTCTGCCAAACGGGGTAAAATGAAACGGCTCCACCGATGAAGCCCCTAAAAACGTGCTCTCACAGAGCTTTGGGGTGGGAAGGAGCCAAAAATAGTGGATTCTCCCGGCTCCTCCTCCAGGCCCCTAAAAACATGCTCTCACAGGGAAGCCATTTTGCCAAACGGTTTACCAAAACCGCTTCAGCTCCACCGGTGGAGCTGTTCGTAGAGCTGAAGCAAAAAAAATGGCTTCACTAGTGAAGTGAAGCCCTGCCAAACGGGGCCTAAATGTAGGCAAGTTTGGCAAGGTTCTTAGAAATGCAAAGATGTTCCTTTTGTCTTAATTCTCTTTTCTTCTGTCTTAATTCTCTTTTCTTTTGCTCGTTGCCATGTATGTTGATGCATGCAAACATGCAATGTGTATATGGATAGCATAATAATTTTTTACTTTCTATTTGCCGTGATTCCTCTATTATATGACAGGCAATATTCAATCAAGGACGCATCATGCGGGAGATGTTGTGGGATCACACGCGTGGGTAGGCGGACGAACCAAAAACAAATGTCGCACAAAAAAAATATCCACATTTTGTTCTTTTTAGTTATAGAAGATGTATCTTTAACTAGTAAATATACTCATGCATTATAATGGAAAAAAAAACTATCCAACATTCACGAGGAACAAGAATAAAGAACCTTGATAAGATCCAGCTGCTCTTTTGTCAGGCTGGACCCCACCAACCACTCCGTCTTCGCGCACACCGATGGCGCAAGCAAGTCTTCTGCATGACAGCCACTCTTCTCGGGTCAAGCCACTCTTCTGCATGACAGCACTGTCAAGGTTGCCCGCCCGCTCAACCGTGGCCGTCGGGTCACGCCTGTGCTGCCGCAGAGCCGTGCCCACACGGACGGCGCGTCACCCAAGTACCCAACTGTGCTGCCTGCTGGCACGCAATGCCAGCCCAGGTGTGCACGGTGGCCACCACGCCGCTGGTTCAAGCCGCCTCCGTGGCTGCAGTGGCCGTATGCGGAGCCACACCCGTGCTACCTATAGATGATTTAAATAAATAATGAACATGACTTCCTAAAAAAAGAAATAAAACACTAGAAATTGGAAAAATTAAAATACCAATAACTTTAAATAGATAACCAATATGTCGATAAAATTTTAGAAACTAAACCAAATTTTGTTATTTTTAGAAAATTCAAATACACCATTGAAACCAGCTAGATGGCCAAATTTATTCGTTACTGATGGTTCGGTGGTCAAAAGTTTTCATGTTATGTGGACAAAAAACAAACTTTAACAATAGTTGTATGGCTAAAAATTGGAGTTCTCCCTCTATTTATTGTTTTATTACTGAATGACCTGTTCTGCTTCACTTTAAAACAACTATAGGTACTGCCTACCCCATTAGTGGTAAGGGAACAATGATTAACCATTTCGTTTGACTATGGTTTGTCGTAAACGATCATAAATTTTCAGCCGGAACAGTATTTTTCTCTCACACAAACCAGCCAGCAGTACTTCTTCACGAACCAGCCAACCGAACAGGTTGAATGTTGGTCATCTTTTAAGTACTTGAGTTGTCCTTGCTCCATGAACTTTAGCCATATCCTTATTTGGCACCATTGAAACGATAGACTTTGCGTTAAATTTAACGGCTGACAACTTTACCAATACAGGGACTACATTTTCATGAACCACCGATACATTCTGTTATCCACGTTCTTATTATTTCTACACACCTCTACATTGACAGTTTATAGGAGAATCATATTGGTAGTTTACTATAGTTTTGTATACCGATCACACTTACGTGCTCGGCCCAGGTAAAACACCACTCAATAAGGACGTATTTCGCCCTCAATACCTATTGGTCCGCCACTTCTTCGAGGAGAATCATCATCATCTGGGCTCAAGCTCAGTGATTGAAACGTCGTTCAGCGACATAGGTGATCTGATTGCAGATTGTGAAGCTCCTGGGTACACTTCTGAGTTCATCTCTGAGTTGAAGCCACTCTTTGGGATGCAAAACGCCGGCCTAGATGGAGCTTGGAGGGTCACCGTACTACTACTAAGCATGACATTCACTGTAGACATCATCGGCCTATCTCCGGGGTCGTCTTGAACACAAAGGAGCCCGATGTGGATGCACTTCAACATCTGGTCTCGCGGAGCAAGGCTGCTCAAGGATGAATCCATGATCTCCATCAATGTTCCCGTCGTCCAGTGCTCCCACACCTGCATTAGATAACCGAATTACTTCGATGTTGTTGCTCTAAACCTGTAACAGTAAACTGTAACCGGGGCATAAAGATTTGTATTGGCTATGCACTCACCAAACTAAGGAGGTCAGCAGATTCATCAGAGTTATAGAAGCCACCATTTCTTCTTCCGGTGACGATTTCTAGGATCAAAACACCGAAGCTGAACACGTCGGACTTGATAGAGTAATGCCCACGCATGGCGTACTCAGGGGCCATGTATCCACTATGACAAGAATATTGTGTTGCACATTAGTGTACACTTATATATAGGTCATACAAGGGAAGCCTGTTCGCTTGCTCGTAAACGATCGTAAATTTCCAGCCGGGAACAGTGTTTTTCTCTCACACCAAACCAGCCAGCAGTAAATAATCCACGATACGATACGGCCTCCCAAACAGGCTGCAATGAATGTTAACAACACTTACTAGGTTCCGACGACGCGATTGGTGACATCTTGTGATTGGTCACTTCCAAATAGCCTTGCTAAGCCAAAATCTGAGATCTTAGGATTGAAGTCATAGTCTAATAAAACATTGCTCGCTTTAAGATCCCGGTGGATTATCTTCACTTGAGAATCTTCATGAAGATACTGCAAGCCACGGGCAATCCCATTAACTATCTTAAACCTCTTCCCCCAATCCAGCTCACCACATCTCTCATGATCTGTCAGATGCAGACAAAAAACTCATAAATGTATGTTGTAAAATTTCAGTTGTTTCACTGTTGCTCAAAGATGCTGAGTGAGTAACCATACTGAATAGAATAGTGTCGAGGCTTTTGTTGGGCATGTATTCATAGACAAGCAATTTTTCATGGTCCTCCAAGCAAACCCCAACAAGCCTCACTAAATTCTTGTGTTGCAGCTTAGCAACCAATACAAGCTCATTTTTCAGCTCCTCCATCCCTTGCCTAGAAGTCTGTGAGAGCCTTTTCACTGCTATTTCCTGGTCATCAGGGAGGATTCCCTGTACAAATGAACATATTTGAGTACCAGAACTACAAAATATAGAAAAAAAAGGTTTATATAATATATGAGTCGTACCTTATATACTGAACCAAAACCTCCTTCACCGAGCTTATTGGCTTCATCAAAGTTTTCTGTTGCAGCTCGCAAAGTTGATATATCAATAATGAGAGAATCAATACTTTGTATGTCCTCTGGATTAGTTGTGTCTGTCATAAGAGAACGTGTAATTTCTAATTAATAATGATGTCTAAAACATCAGTGCATTTCCTACTTTCATAAGAGGATTATGTCTAGACATGGCAAAAAAAAATTGTACAAAAAGCAAAAGAATGGGATTTGAATTATCTGAACTGCACAAGGGACTTACCTGGTAGTGTTGACTTCCCTGGCGTTTTCCTCTTCTTCCTCCAGAGGCATGAACAAAGTACTATAGTAGCTAGTATTGCAGCAACTATAGGCAGTGCAATGGCTAAAGCTCTACCAGTTTTGTTTCCTTTTGTTCCTGTAAATGGAAAGCATCAGTTAATAATTTCATCAATGTTAAAGTAATATAACAGGAATCCATAAAAGTTAATGCATCCGGCACATCATATACATGTACTAACAGGGGTGGGTCAAAAAGAAGGAAGAGAAGAGGAATGAAGGGGTACTGGGGTAGGGAACTAGGGATGCCTCCATCCCTACATATTAATTATATTAAGGCCCCGTTTAGATTCCAAAAAATTTTACGCAGCACCCATTACATCGAATCTTGCGGTACATGCATGGAGTACTAAATGTAGACGAAAAAAAAACTAATTGCACAGTTGGGTGAGAAATCGCGAGACAAAACTTTCGAACATAATTAGTTCATAATTAGACACTAATTACCAAATACAAACGAAGTGCTACAGTAGTCAAAACCCAAAAAAATTTGGATCTAAACACGCCCTAATTTCTTGTTCAAAAATCAATAAGCTACACAAAAGGAGAAAATTGTTTGATGTTCATAGTGCTACAGCCTTTATGTATTGCTGCATTATCATAAGTCTTGAGCAAGACAAGAGCAACTAAGCTTAATTTGGCATATAAAACGACTAGCAAATTAAAGTAACTGATACCTGTCTGTACACATTTATGTTTCAGGTCAAAGAAAGAACTCTAGGAAGCAGCATAGCTTTACGGTGCACGGTCATACAATTTTGCTTTACGGTGCACGGTCATACAATCTTGCCTGAACTGACCAATCTAGAAAATGCACGTGTATATGACCAATGTTAATTAACCTCAGACGGTCAGACCAATTGATAAAGGAGTTTCTTTTATCACTTTTCCCTTACTTCTTACACCTGACTCCTGACTAGAACTTTCGATTCAGCCAAGATGTTGAACTGGTCAGAACTCAGGAAGTCAGGAGTCGGGTCATGTACTCATGTGTGAACTTCCATTGTTCCATGTTCGCAGTGACTAGTGAGGCAACTGATAGCTACGGGACTGCATTTAATGTCAAGATCAGAGAAAGAAACATAGAAAAACTAGCAGACACGTGCGCGGGATTTGTTCTTCGCTTACTTGATTGCTCGATTTTAATGTAAATTATTGAACAAACTAATCGGAAGAAAACAAACAACAAACAGCCCTTCAGGGTTTAGTGATTTTGACACTCGTCGGTTACTTATTTTACTGGAATCGAAGCAAATTCGTCGGATCTTAGCAACATTAGCCTTGTTGCTGAATTCCCCTTTTGGAACCATGCGCGTGGATGCAAAAAGATGGCACCTTTAATCCAATCCCCCCAACTCTCACCTCGTGCTCCTCCGGTCGTCGGTGGCGTTGGCGTTCCGTTCACCACCGCGGGCGCGGGCGCCGGCGCCGGGGCCCCCACGGTAGGTTCCGGCAGCTGAAGCAGCGGGGTGGTTGTGAAGAACGAGTACTGCTCGTACCTGTAGTTGCACCGCAGCACAAGAACCCTGCCACCCTGCTTCCCGCTGAAGTACTTGGTGCCCGTCTGAATAATACCCGAGAGGCAGCTCCGGCAGTCGGCCGGCGACATGTCCGGCGTGCACTGTGCCAGCCCGTAGATCCTCGGGTTATTGCTGTCGAAGCTCTGGAACGCCTCCACCCCGGTGCCGAACCTCTTGGACGAGTTGGCGGCCGCGTAGGTGGCGGTGGCGTTGAGGAGCACGGCGACGGCGGCGTCGAACACCTTGAACGGCGCGGTGACGTTCTGCGTGTTCATGAGGATGAGCGCGTTCCCGCGGCCGTCGCTGTTGGTGTCAGCGAGGAAGTTCTGGTTGGAGTAGCGGAGGAGGCAGGGGTCGTAGAACACGGTGGCGTCCTTGTTGTAGGCGCACAGCTGCTGCGCGTCCTGGAACGCGGTGGCGACGCAGTCGCCGCAGGCGGAGGCGTTGGCGTCGCCGCGGCAGAGCGCGAGCGCGTAGACGATGTCCGGGACGGCGCCGACGGTGTCCGTGGCGAAGAGCGTCGGGGAGGCGGAGGTGTTCCTGGGCAGCGTGGCGGCGAGGCGCTGGATGTTGGCCTGGTAGGAGCTGTTGCGCGTGTAGTTGTAGCTGGTACCGCAGAACTGGCCCAGCGGGTCCCCGGCGGCGAGAGGCGCGATAGTGAGTGCGAGGAAGAGCGCGGTGGCAGTGGCGAGGTAGGGGCGCAGGTGGTGATGGTGCACAACCATGGCCATGGTTTGCGCGGCGGCGCAATGGCAGTGGCAGGAGCCGTGGCTGGCGTGGTGCCGGACCGGGTCGAAGCGAAATGAACGGAGAGGGGACGGCAGACGGGTGTGTGTCATCACTGTAATAGGGCCCATGTGTTGACTTGTGTGGGGCTCGTTTGACTTGACGACTCACTGACAGCATGGAACCAGCCATAAATATCTACAGGGCCCACACCAGCTAAGTTGTGGCTGCCGGCGGTCCCAGGCGGGGGTACAGTACAGTATCAGTACACGACGGTGGAGCCGATCGGCGACGTCACTCACATGCAAGATCAACGAGAGTGGCTGCACTCAGCATGAAGACATGCGTGCCACACTGCCATACCATCTACTACCATGAACAGATCGTTTTCCTACGCTTCGAAGTTTAGCAACGCGGCAACGGCGAGTTCAGGCACGCCCCTGTTGATTTTGATTTGCCCTGCCGTGCTGGTCGATACATCGTACATGATGCATCAATGCGACATGCGTGCTACTCGGATGACATTGGGGCGTTTGGTTCGAGGCACTCGAGTTTACTGCGTATCACATTAAAATTATAAAACTAATTATACAAGTAGAGACTAATATGTAAGACGAATTTATTAAATATAATTAATTCATCAGTAGCCCGTGTTTACCGTAGCACCACATTATCAAATCATGAATTAATTAGGTTTAATAAATCCGTCTCGTATATTAATCTCCATCTATGTAATTAGTTTTATAATTAAATTAATATTCAACCGACACCTGTCCACCCACCAGCGTGAGCGTGGGCGTGCCCCAAACATCCAAAAATCGTTGGCTCCAAGTCAGCTAGCTTCTGGCCCAACCTTCTCAAATAGAGAACCAGCTCAACTATATTCATGGCGCGTAGCCCACTAAGCACTAGTTTTCAATTTCTTTTTGTTTTCTCCTCGACTTAGGCCATCTCGTACGAAACAATTCGAAGAATGATTTGGCATATTTATACAGTTTTTATTTATTCCATTTGTGGTTTTGTAGATGATGACTGCATTGTTGCTTCCTCGCGTTCTGGATTTGTTATGTTCATTATCTTAACATGGCGTGATTCGGTGATTGTCTGATTGGGCCAGCTGATTAGGTCCGGTTTAGAGTTGCACACATTTTTTTCGACGTATATGTTGTTCGGATGATACAATCCAATTTAGATATGCTCACAAGTCAGAAGGTTTGTTGAACCCTTCTCTTTTTGCAATTTATCACTACATGTGGACTCAATACATTGCATCCGATCTGCCTGCACAATCTCAATTGCTCATAGTTTTTTTATTCAATGCCAATTCATAATAAGTTGAGGCTTTACAGATGTCAGGGTTACATATATATCCCCAAGCAGAACTCAATACCAGCATTGGAGAAGTTCATATTGGAATTAGTTTATGTGGATCTAAGTGGAAGTGGGAAAGGATGCACTGAAACTAGGAGCTGATTCTGAAAATTCTGTAGGTGCTGATGGTTAATTGTCTCCAGATGACAGGCATCTTGAACGCCTGCATAACAATGCCATAATGTTATTCATCTTTTCCTGATGGAAGAGAGCTAGAATGCTTATCAGAACCATATATTGTTAGAAATTGCTTAAACTGACAATGCTAAGGTACAAATGTACAGTTCAAATGTTCCATGAAAAAGGTAGAGAATTTTAAATTACTTGGACACAATGTTATATGATCACAATGTATTTTGTTCCACATTGTTAGCCAACTTTAGCGAACATAGGACTTGCATATATAGTTCAAAATACTTACATTTCAGAGCATCTTTTCCTATCACGCGAGTCCTGCAGAAGCAAGAAGAAAAGCCATGCGAATCCAATTGCTTGAAATACCATAGCCAAGGACAGATTCCTCATCACAATGTTTCTTGCTGAAATAATGAAAAGGAAAAGGAAAACTTGAATTTGGAGTGCTGGACGTTTAGCACCATTGATGTTAAGTGAAAGTGAAAAGGAATGCTAAGTTAGCAGATACAGAAAATAACATGTGAGGCATGTACTGCCTACAATACTGGAACGCAGAAGTACATATATGGATTTCACGAATATTAATATGTGGAGGATCATGTAATTAATTTCTCGAATAGAGAGAGCTTCATGAATATATAGTAGTTTCCAGGGGTACAGGGATGACGGAAGCAGAATTAGGCTCTTAATGGTGATTAACTCAAACTCAACATAGGCATTTTGATGATATATAATGACAGAAGAGCCTGTGTTCAGTTAATATACTTGTAGACTGGGCTACTCAGACGCTGTCATAAACATGATTGGTTGATAAATGACAAGTAACAATATAATGCCTACCAAATTTATGCAACTATTTTTTTGACAGAAAATTTATGCAACTGTTTAATAGAAAACTGTTTGTGTCCCTAGAATTTCTTATATTTGGATACTATGGAGGGAGTATGCTAACAAGGACGAAAGTGAACCCAACAAGGCTGCAGATGATATCAAGGAAGGAGACATTAGCAAGGCTTTCAGCTTGGAGATGCTAACAAAGAAGTATGTCATTTAAAATATTTTCTCTACCTGAAATAGAAGGAAAACAATAATCCATCTAATGCGTGCATGCATAAGGAAACAATAATCTACTCTTAGTACTGACGCACAAATATATGTCGGTACTAAGAGTGAATTGAAAGTAATTCCATCAAGTATATTATGGACTGCATAACGAAAAAATGGATAAGAAGAGAACAACTCACTTTCTGTTTCTGAGGAAACAAGTACGAGGTCGTCGAAATGGACACCAGGTAATAAACGAAGAGAGCAGTTGCCGTTGAAGAACGCAGACTCCCTGTGGTACGGGCACGCTGTTCGAGCTTCTTGGAGGGCCAAGGTGACGCAGGCTCGGCAGGATGAGGAGTCCGTGCCGTTGCGGCAGCGTGAGACTGCGTACACACCGTCAGGGAGATCTCCGACGACATATTCGGTGTAGAGACCGGGGGTGGCAGATGCTGTCTCGGATCGAAGCATGGCAGCTAGGCTGTGGATGTTGGCTTCGTAGTCGCTGTTGATCGATGTGCTGTTGCCACGGCCGAGGCAGATAACGCTCCGGGTGTCGCCATTGGCGTCAAGAGGGAGCAGGACGAAGAGGAATGGAAGCAGGCAGAAAAACCGCATGGCTGTGAGATGTTTCATGTTTGTGCTTACTTTGGACTTGAGCCAGACCGCCAAGAAGACGAGAGAGCAAAATATAAGCGAGGATTAACACGCATTTCCTGCAAAGAGAGCGATGTTGACTTTTGGACCCTAGTGGAGCCGGCTGTAGTTAGTACTCTCTCCATTCCAAATTAGAATTCATTCTGATTTTTTTGAGAGAAAGCATTTCAAGTATAACCAAAATTATAGAGAGAATTACAAAGATTTATGACATTAAATAGGCATACTATGAAAATATAATAATGAAGAATATAATGATACTTAGTTGATATCATAAATGTTATTGTTTTATTATATAAGTTTAGTTAACTCACATACTTTTGACTCTCAAAAAATTTAGAACGACTTATAATTTGATGAGATGGAGGGCGTAATATTTTAATCTGGCGAGTAAAATAAGATGTTGAAGTTCTTGACAAATTGAGGACATCTTTATACGTATATATGCTATCAATGTAGTGAGAGAAATCAATGAGCCCACTCGAACAAGCCATTGATCGATGATTCAGAAGTGCTTAGCACTTAATATCTGCACCTTGGAGTTACATGCATATTCTGAGATATGGACAGCGAGACGACGAATTTGAAATGAGATGGAAAAAAAACATAGTATGTAAAATGAACACTTTTCCTTCATTGCAGGGATCAAACTGAAGACCTTTGAGCTGCTGGAAAATCAGTATCCTTCGTTCCATTATTCTCCAATAAGAATATTCACATCCATTGATCACCCCTTTTACTTTCTGTGCCTTAATGTTTTTTTTTTCCATCACACTAGGTGTCATCAAACTTGTGGCCAAGCCGCTCAACTATTGATCTCCAGATAGAAGAGGGGTGTGACGCCTGCATTATATATGTAAGAGGAAATGAGGAATTTATATAGTTCCATGCTACTCTGTATTATATTAGAAAGGAAGATAAAACTTTAAGAGTATGACAATTGGAAGCACAAAAACTAAATTCATTTGAAAAATAATTCTGAGAGGTTGAAATCACTAGCTATCATGTTTTGTACTGTTAGCGCAAGACTTCTAACATGTTTGGGTGGTAGTTCCACAGAACTTTTTTTTTTATGATTTTGACAGGAAACAGTTTAACCTCAGGTAAATGTTTGGGACAATTAAGGGGGTCCTTACGTCATGGTGCCTTTTTTACTGTCATGGCGCCAAGCCTGTATAAACAAGAAGAAAAGACATGCTAGACCGAATGCTTGAAATATGATCCCCATAGCAAAGGCTTCAAACATTGTGTTTCTTCCTGGAATGTGATGCAGAAAACCTGATGTTAAGTATAGCCGAACAATATTTCTTGAGTACATTAGTTAAATAAAACTGTTTAAAAATGAATACCAATGGAATATAGGTACATATGTTTGAATACAAATTTCGCATATGTCTTGAATTACTTTCACATATTTGCCCGGTTTATGTAGGAGTTCAGAAAGTTTATCTATTCTGTTTGGGCGAAGAGAAATGATGTGTTAGTACAATTCACTTGCATCGGAACAAATGTTACAGTTTGAGTTTTGTGTGTTTGGCAAATGTTGAAGTGCGAAAGAAACTTATGTCAAACCTTAGTACTGGAGAAAAACTCCGACCATGCGACGATTTCGACGTCAGAGTCCGACAACCATGCGGCGGCGACGAGGGGCGAGGCGGCGAGGAGGAGGACCAAGGAAAGGAGGGAGAGGTTCTCCTTCTCCATGATGGTGAGTGGTGAACTGGTGACCGGGGTGATGGCGATTGGCGAGGATTACAGCTCTATATATATGTAGAAACTAATAAACTGCTAAAGGGTGGGTGAGAGGAGAAGCACGAGGAGCTGGCCACCGCTGGGTGTAGCAAGTGGCGCCCGTGGACGACGACTTTGACTGTTAACGTCTGCAGGAGACGTTGCAGTACCACGCAGCTTCGTAGGTGCTGTTAGCCGCGTAGCTACCCGCTGCCGTAGTTGTCACCAGCCGGTTTCTGGTGGACGACTTTGACTACTGACCTCAGGATAGTGGAGCCGGCCGGCAACGACATTCATCTCATAACTCGTTAGTCTTTTGGCACACGCTCATATGATTCAAGCATTAAGGTATGTTCTTCTAGAACTCAAAAATGTTTGAAGGATAAAACAAAGATGTAATTCTGTTTTGATCTTGCAAGTGAGAATGAATAATCGACCCAGTTATCACATTCATCGTACTTATACGATGTATATATGGTACTGATGATTTATGAGTACTGCTCAATCGTGGTAAATTTGGGGTTTTATATTCACACACATATTTCAATACAAGGACAAGTGGGAATGAAATTCTATAGGGAAAACATCAGAGTAGGTGATATGAACATTGGCGCTTGTTTGAAACGATCAAATTGAAGTCCTACAATGTGGAGAGGAAGTATTCATTCCCCTGAGAGAAAATCCGATCCCTTCATGCATCTGTATATGCCTTAGTGAACACTGGAGCTCAAAATTGTGTTGCCAACATTTTAATCTCCAGATAAAAGAGGGGTGGAATGCCTGCACAATGTAAGAGAACAAAGTAAATTATATATTTGTCCAGGTAGTTCAAAGTCTGAGAAATGTTCAAAGGTGTGGCATTTTGATAATAAAAAAAAAAGATCCAATCAATTGCTTGTTGCTTCTAGAAGACACGAGCTGTATTTCAGAAATTTTATATGGATCCTATAGGAAGTAGTTCGATTAAGAACGAGATATGCTGATATGGGATCGATCAACTCTTGTGTTTTGAGTGGGGCCTTACGTCAAAGTGCCTCTTTTCTGGCTGCGCCATTCCTGAAATAGCAAGAAGAAAAGGCAACCAAATCCAATTGCTTGAAATACCAATCCCGAAGCCATGACTTGTTTCAGTATGTTCCCTTCATCTGAAATGAAACACACAAGAACCTCAGTTAATGCATATGTAAGTCAACATTAGTTCCTAAACAATTACATGTTTGTTTGAGTTAAAACGCTTTTTTTAGATAAAGGACTAGCTCTGGCCTCTGCATCCACGAATGGATGTATATGGCCATTGAGTTAAAACACTTAGGCAATGATAAAACTGAGGTGCAGGGTAAGAAAGAAAGCAAACTCATATATTCATTTAAACAATGGAATACGAATTCTGACCGTTGCATTCGAGAATGCACACAGCACACAGGTTAGCAGGACAAAGCTAAAAGAAATTTAACACAAGCCAAAACAAGTCTGAACACACTCAGACATTAGCTAGCCTGCTCCTGAAACTCCTGTGCTTCTAATTTGTATAGCTACATTCCAGCAACTTAAGCAATCGTGTGACGATATAAATCTCCAAATTAAATTTCAATCCTGAGCCACTCGATCAGTTGCCACTAATCTATAGGTGGCATGGCAAAGCTAAGGCTGTGTTCCCTAGAAGCAAAGCTTGTTAAAATTGAAAAAACCGGCAAGACTTTTTGTATACGAACTTACGAAGCATGGCAGAAGGCCAGAAGAAGAACTCACGGAAGATGCCACCAGTCCCGAAGATGCGGATCTCGGCAAGTTCGAGAGTGCAGTTGCGGTCGGAAAACAAGGCCTCCCTGCGGTACGGGCACGCTCTCTCCACCTCGAGGAAGGCCCCGGCGATGCATTCGGCGCAGCGGTAGCCGCCGCGCCAGCAAAGGGAGCTGGCCATCAACCGGTTCGGTCAGTACCCGACGGCACGGGTCGCGTAAGACTGGCCGGGCGTGGCGGATACCTCGGCTAGGAGGAGCGCGGCGACACGACGGAGGTTGGCTTGGTAGGTGCTGTTAGCAGGCGCCGACGCACTCGACAGGCGACTGCCCTGCGGCAGGGAAACGCAGCGCCCGCCACATGGCGGCGGTTAGAGGCAGCGACGACGACACGGCTAGGAGGAGGGGGACGAGGCATAGGAGCCAAGGATTCTTCATGGTGGTGGTGAGTGGTGACGGCGGTGGAGTCATGGAGCTGTGGATGGTAAAAAGCCTAGTAGCAAGCAACTCGCAAGGGGACGAATTTTTTTTGGTTTTCAGCGGTTTTTTCAAAACATTTTCACAAATGACAGTATCCTTTCAAAAAATAGACCATAACCTCGGCGTGCCGTGACAATTGACGTCGAGCTTACACGTCTCGGCGTCAATTACTTTTGACGTCAAGGTCCAGTGTCATTTTCTACGTGTCGTTCACACGGATCGCTTACGTGGCGCGGTACGAGCTCGGCGCCGTAGATCTACGCCGAGCTCAGCGACAGTTGCTACGGCGCCGGTACGCATTTTCCCCTTGCACCGTTCCGCGTCCGCGTGCATCAGGCCCGAGCAGCGAGCGAGGTGAGCCCCACGCACGCTGCCCCGTTCCGCCGCCGCTACCACTCATGCCGACGCCGTCCCACCAGTGAAGTAAAGACGCCACGCCGCGCGACGCGAGCGGGAACGGCAATGAGGCCGCAGCCGCAGGGCAGGGGAGCAGGCGGGGGTGGCGCGCTCGGCCGTCGCGCGTTCGCGTCCCTCCTCGCGGCGGCCGTCGTCGCGCTGGCGCTTCTCTGCCTCTTCTACGGCGCCGCCTTCGCCCCCTCCATCCGCCGCGCGCACCCTCGCCTTCCCCTCCGGCTGCTGTTCCCGGCCCAAGGGACGGAAGCGCTCCCAGTGGACCTCGTCATCTCCTCCATCCCGGTGCGCACCGCGGCCGCCCAACACCCGCGCCCTCTGCTTGTTTCGTTAACGGAGTCGTGATGAGCGGTCTGTGACTCTGCGCTTTGCTGAGTGCTGACCCCGAGTGCGTGTGTCGTGGGGTTCGAAATCGAACAGGTGTGCGACGCGCGGCACTCGGAGCTGATCCCGTGCTTGGACCGACGCCTCCACTACCAGCTCCGGCTCCGGCTCAACCTCTCTCCCCTCATGGAGCACTACGAGCGCCACTGCCCACCGGCGCCGCGCCGCCTCAACTGCCTCATCCCACCGCCCGTCGGATACCAGGTGAGGGAGAAGCCACCGTGTGTTACATTGCAGAGTGCCGTGTTGCACTTGCACCTTGTTTGTGTTGCTCTAATGCTCACGCTGATGTGATGTGCGCGCGTCCGTGCGATGCTTGATTAGGTGCCCATCAGGTGGCCGAGGAGCAGGGACGAGGTTCCGTTTGCCCTAGAGAGAGGGATCCCGGCAACCCTTGGTGTGTTGGGCACTAGGAGGCTACCATACCCAAGCCGCTCGTTCGAAATGGCACACTGCTCTCGTTGTCGGATTAGCTGGCTGCAGTATGAAACATCAGCGTTTTACAACATGGGCACACAACCACTGAACCGCACATACCCTCTCTGATGGTGATCTATTTAACCTTGAAATATTATTTGCAGGACATTTGGTATTCTAGAGTAATTCAATATTGGAAGCACATGAAGTCTGATATATGAAAGGATTCCTTTAGAAATGTTATGGATATGAGTGCTAACCTTGAAGGATTTGCAGCATCTCTGAAGAAAAAGGATGTCTGGGTAATGAATGTAGTTCCTTTCACGGAATCTGGAAAGCTGAAGGTTATATACGATCGTGGTTTAATGGGGACTACCCACGATTGGTAAGATTTTTTGACGTACTTTCCATCTATTTATTTAATTGTTTCAAGGTGGAATTTGCATACCTAGAAATTAGAACTGTTACATTTATGTTCTCTTGTGGCATGCAGATAACAGTTTGATTGCATGACTATAGTCTGCAATTAATTAGCCATAAATATAAATTATCAACTTGTTTTCTCATGGTTGTCCATATAAATTCGTTTTCATGTGTGGAAAGGGGAGGGGTGATATTATCTTGTTTGGTTTCTAAGATGCAACCGTGTGTAATTCTTAATCTGTGCAACTAGCATAGTGGCTGCAGTTATAAACATGATTTTCAGAAATTAGGTAGTTTGGCTGTCATATTTTGGAACATGTGGCTGTAGTGTTTGAGCCTTGAGGCCATAGTTCTATCCATTAGAAAATTACCTGCATTGTTATTATGATTACACAAAACCTAAAAACATCAGGCTCGTTGGGGAAAAAAATGAAAAAAAAAAGTTAGACCTATCAACGCATCTGTTCCTGGTGCCCTGCCCTGTTGCTTCTTTCCTTTTTTTTTTTGAAAGACCCTTCTTTCCATTTGCAACGTCTTCCGTAGTTGACTTATGCCTGACATGGTGATAACCACTGAAAGAAATTTCTTGTGCATTGTCCCGTTTATTCCTTTACTTGCTGTTACATATGGCTGATGCTAATTTACTGTGAGAGAGAAACACTGTTACATATGGTTTCTGGACTGATAAGCTCGGCTGGTGCTGGTTTATTGTGAGAGAGAAACATTGTTGGCTGGCTGATAAGCCCTGGCTGAAATCAGCAAGCGAACATACTAATTGTACTGTACATCATTATGTACGGCAAACTATAATAAATTAATAAAATCCGGTACACTGCAAATGGACATGGGTGCTCCTTCCTCTCAACCTTTGCAATAGTATATATATCTGACCAAACTGTTAAACTTGTTGGTTTTGACCAAATTAAAACCAGCCACCAGCCAAGAGTGTTTTCCTCTCACAAAAACCAGCACCAGCCACCAAATTAAAACCAAAGACCAAAGACCAACCAAATGAAACAGGCCCGACATGTCAACGTTGTCTTCACCTGCTAATAATACTATACTACTGTACAACCATTGAGACTTATAACTTGATGAAAAATAATATGAAGTAACCTTTAACCCTTTACCTAAATTATTGATCTATTTTAGCAGTGAAAACTTTGTTCTAGCAGTGAAAATTAATTGAACCAATCATTTTTTTAAATGTTGAATGTGTTTTTGAGAAATCTCGAATCCATTAACTGGACTGATATTTATGTCCATGGGCCTTAACCCGTCGTGTTTCCAGTTCCTTGTTGTGTTTCATTCTTCTCTAACTGGGCCAAAATAAGGCCCGGAAGGCAGCAAGAAGAATTGGGCGTGTTCGCTTAGGCGCCGTGGCTTTTTCTTAGTTCAAAAAACATGTAGGGTGTTTTATAGTAAGCAAACCGCAGCTGGAGCGAACTTTGGTTTCCTCTTGTTGGCAACACAAGCCGACAAGTGCCCTAACAGTAGCGTGTATGCAGCATAACCGCACCCAGAACATACTCCCTTTGTCCACAAAATAATGCAATTCTCACTTTTTGAGAACCGTAATGCTCTCTACCCGAAGGCGTCCGGACGGACACAGCGTCTTTGTTGGAGAGCTACGGACCAGGTCTGACTGGCCCATTATTTATTAAAAAAATCTAGGCGCTTCCATCGAGACGGAACCGTCTCGTGACGCAGTCGCCACTCGCCTCCCACGCGGACCCGCTTGCACCGCGCCCTGCGCCTCACGCTGACACCGCCTCGTGCCATGCGCCCGCCCGTGCCTCGCGCATAGCGCACCACACGCCGCACCGCTGCCCCCCCCTCCCATGGCATACGTTAACGAGCCTTCCTTGGGCGGCGGGTAGATAAGCACATGTTGCAACCGTATGTTTCATGCGTTTCAAATGTATGTTGCATATGTTTCACTGGATGTTGCAAAAGTAGATCTGGCATTGCATATATTGCAATGGTTATGCTGGCATGTGTTGCAAGTATATGTTTCAAATGTTTCAGCTATTTCAAGCGTATGTTGCAAGTGTGTTTTTCAAATGTTTCACCTATTTCGGAGGTATGTTGCAAGTGTTTTATCTCACATGTTGCATATGTTGCGGTTGGTTATACACATATGTTGCAAGCGTATGTTTCAATTGTTTCACTTTGGTTTGGTATGTTTGGTGAGATGCTACTCCCCACGGCGCTTTCGACTCGAGGGCACGCACCAATCCAGTCACGTTTATCTTCATCATGCGGGCCAACTCCAATAGTCGGACGTGCATGCAGCGGACGGTCGGTGCCCAAATGGCCGAAAGCACTCCTGGTCAAAGTGTATGCGTAGTGAACACTGGGCTCAAAATTGTATTGCCAGCATTTAATCTCCGGATAAAAAAGAGAATTGGAATGCCTGCACAATGTAAGAGAACAAAGTAAAGTATATATTTGTCCAGGTAGTTCAAAGTCTGAGAAATGTTCAAAGGTGTAGCATTTTGATAATAAAAAAGATCCAATCAATTGCTTGTGCTTCTAGAAGACACGAGCTGTGTTCAAAAATTTTATATGGATCTATAGGAAGTATATGCTTTTGACCGGGATGGCCCGGCTAAGAGCCTAGATCCACTGCATGTTGGATAGACGACCATATAACTAAAATGCTTCTCTTGCGCTTTAAGGCCTGCGCTTCGTAAAAGGATTCAGATCGGAGTTAATTTCCTCTGAAACTTAGACTTTTAAACTAGTTTCAGTACCTCCTCTGGTTCCTATGGACTAAAGTCTCGTATTTCACAGTACTTTTTGTTACTGCAGTAACGAGCAACCCTGAACTACAGTAACGCTCGTCAATTCATTGACCCCATCGGACCCGGCCCAACAGATCCATTTAGGCAGGGTCTCACATGAAGTAGTTCGATTAAGAACGAGATATGGGATCGATCAACTCTTAATGTTTGAAGTGGGGCCTTACGTCAAAAGTGCCTCTCTTTGTGGCTGCGCCATTCCTGAAATAGCAAGAAGAAAAGGCAACCAAATCCAATTGCTTGAAATACCAATCCCGAAGCCATGACTTGTTTCAGTATGTTCCCTTCATCTGAAATGAAACACACAAGAACCTCAGTTAATGCATCTGTAAGTCAACATTAGTTCCCAAAAGCAATTACATGTTTTGTTTGAGTTAAAACACTTTTTTTTAGATAAAAGGACTCTGGCCTCTGCATCCACGAATGGATGTATATGGCCATTGAGTTAAAACACTTGAGCAATGATAAAACCGAGGTGCAGGAGTGAAGAAAACAAGCTCATATATTCATTTAAACAGTGGAATACGAATTCTGACCGTTGCTCGAGAATGCACACAACACACAGGTTAACAGGACAAAGCTAAAAGGAAATTTAACACAAGCCAAAACAAGTCTGAACACACTCAGAGATTAGCTAGCCTGCTCCTGAAACTCCTGTGCTTCTAATTTGTATAGCATACATTCCAGCAACAAGCAATCGTGTGACGATATAAATCTCAAATTAAATTTCAATCCTGAGCCACTCGATCAGTTGCCACAAATCTATAGGTGGCATGGCAAAGCTAAAGGCTGTGTTCCCTAGAAGCAAAGCTTATGTTAAGAATTGAAAAAACCAGCAAGACTTTTTTGTAGCCTACGAACTTACGAAGCATGGCAGCGAAGGCCTGAAGAAGAACTCTGGAAGATGCCACTTAGTCCCAGTGCGGATCTCAGCAGAGTTCGAGGAGTGCAGTTGCGGTCAGAAACAAAGGCCTCCCTGCGGGTGCGGGCACGCTCTCTCCACCTCGAGGAAGGCCCCAGCGATGCAGTCAGCGCAGCAAGTATCGCCGCCACGCCAGCAAAGGGGCTGGCCATCAACCAGTTCGGCCAGTGCCCGACGGCTTTTGAGGTCGCGTAGACTGGCCGGGCGTGGCGGATACCTCGGCTGGGAGGAGCGCGGCGACGCGACGGAGGTTGGCTTGGTAGGTGCTATTAGCAGCATAGACGCCGTCGCCGACGCACTCGACAGGGGACTGCCCTGCGGCAGGAAACGCAGCGGCGCCACATGGCAGCGGCGGCAGTTAAGAAACAGCGACGACGACACGGCCAGGAGGAGAGGGACGCAGGCATAGGAGCCAGGATTCTTCATGGTGGTGGTGAAGGGTGGTAACGGCGGTGACGGAGTCATGGAGCTGTGGATTGTAAAAAGCCTAGTAACGCAAGCAACTCGCAAGGGGGCGCGCGTGGACCCGCGACTTTGAGCACAGCATCTGGGTCGCCTTGGCGGCGCTTCCTGCTCCGCTCTCCATAGGCATGTTTGGGTCTTGGGGTTGGTACTCCTCCAGCTCCACGTACATAAATATATGGATCTATCAAACATCAGAAAATCCCATATAAAAAACAATAGAAAATGTAAAACTGTAGCTATTTAAGATATGTGAAGTTGAACTTGTGGATGCAAAAGATCTTTTCCTAGAGGAAAATTCAAAGTCAATAGTAGGAACCAAACTAGATTTTTGGGAAGATCTTTGGGTTGGCCCAGAAACCTTTAAAGTTAATATAAGGTAGCTTACTCGGTATAAATTGTGAGAAGAAAGGGTGTTACAGTGCAAAGTTCACCCCCTTGGACATTTCGTTTGGGCGGGCTTTAACTGAGGAGGCTGAAAGGATTGGCTTAGTCTTGTGACTTAATTTTGCCTCCTACTTTAAGTGAGATTAGAGGATGTTTTTTTATTTGGCACTTACATAAAAAATAGTATCTTTTTCGATGTAGTCTTTGTATAAAGATATCATGATGAAAGAAAGGATTCATGGGAAGAAGTCTTGTTCTAGAAGGCTAGGGTGCAGCCTTTAAAATAAGATTTTTCTTTGGTATCCAAAAGAGGTGTAATTTTAACAAAGGAAAACTTGCTGAAAAGTTGGAAAAGGTGATGCTAAGTGCAGTTTTATGTGTTAGAGAAACGATCAACACCCTCTTCTTCGATTGTCATATTTGATTGTCATGCAAAGCTTTTTGTGTGGAATTAGTTGTTCATCGTTTTTAATATTCAACCACCAAACGGGTACAGTCCAGATGTTT